GGTCAGAGATGGGGTGTGTGTGTGTGCGGCGAAAACATGTGTCGACACAACCCTCCACCTTCCTGTTCCCACCCTCTCTCCTCCTTCAACCCCCCGCACCAGGTGATGATAGAGGCGGTGGAGAATCACATGCCGCAGGTGGTGATACTCGAGAGATCGGTCAGAGATGGGGTGTGTGTGTGTGCGGCGAAAACATGTGTCGACACAACCCTCCACCTTCCTGTTCCCACCCTCTCTCCTCCTTCAACCCCCCGCACCAGGTGATGATAGAGGCGGTGGAGAATCACATGCCGCAGGTGGTGATACTCGAGAGATCGGTCAGAGATGGGGTGTGTGTGTGTGCGGCGAAAACATGTGTCGACACAACCCTCCACCTTCCTGTTCCCACCCTCTCTCCTCCTTCAACCCCCCGCACCAGGTGATGATAGAGGCGGTGGAGAATCACATGCCGCAGGTGGTGATACTCGAGAGATCGGTCAGAGATGGGGTGTGTGTGTGTGCGGCGAAAACATGTGTCGACACAACCCTCCACCTTCCTGTTCCCACCCTCTCTCCTCCTTCAACCCCCCGCACCAGGTGATGATAGAGGCGGTGGAGAATCACATGCCGCAGGTGGTGATACTCGAGAGATCGGTCAGAGATGGGGTGTGTGTGTGTGCGGCGAAAACATGTGTCGACACAACCCTCCACCTTCCTGTTCCCACCCTCTCTCCTCCTTCAACCCCCCGCACCAGGTGATGATAGAGGCGGTGGAGAATCACATGCCGCAGGTGGTGATACTCGAGAGATCGGTCAGAGATGGGGTGTGTGTGTGTGCGGCGAAAACATGTGTCGACACAACCCTCCACCTTCCTGTTCCCACCCTCTCTCCTCCTTCAACCCCCCGCACCAGGTGATGATAGAGGCGGTGGAGAATCACATGCCGCAGGTGGTGATACTCGAGAGATCGGTCAGAGATGGGGTGTGTGTGTGTGCGGCGAAAACATGTGTCGACACAACCCTCCACCTTCCTGTTCCCACCCTCTCTCCTCCTTCAACCCCCCGCACCAGGTGATGATAGAGGCGGTGGAGAATCACATGCCGCAGGTGGTGATACTCGAGAGATCGGTCAGAGATGGGGTGTGTGTGTGTGCGGCGAAAACATGTGTCGACACAACCCTCCACCTTCCTGTTCCCACCCTCTCTCCTCCTTCAACCCCCCGCACCAGGTGATGATAGAGGCGGTGGAGAATCACATGCCGCAGGTGGTGATACTCGAGAGATCGGTCAGAGATGGGGTGTGTGTGTGTGCGGCGAAAACATGTGTCGACACAACCCTCCACCTTCCTGTTCCCACCCTCTCTCCTCCTTCAACCCCCCGCACCAGGTGATGATAGAGGCGGTGGAGAATCACATGCCGCAGGTGGTGATACTCGAGAGATCGGTCAGAGATGGGGTGTGTGTGTGTGCGGCGAAAACATGTGTCGACACAACCCTCCACCTTCCTGTTCCCACCCTCTCTCCTCCTTCAACCCCCCGCACCAGGTGATGATAGAGGCGGTGGAGAATCACATGCCGCAGGTGGTGATACTCGAGAGATCGGTCAGAGATGGGGTGTGTGTGTGTGCGGCGAAAACATGTGTCGACACAACCCTCCACCTTCCTGTTCCCACCCTCTCTCCTCCTTCAACCCCCCGCACCAGGTGATGATAGAGGCGGTGGAGAATCACATGCCGCAGGTGGTGATACTCGAGAGATCGGTCAGAGATGGGGTGTGTGTGTGTGCGGCGAAAACATGTGTCGACACAACCCTCCACCTTCCTGTTCCCACCCTCTCTCCTCCTTCAACCCCCCGCACCAGGTGATGATAGAGGCGGTGGAGAATCACATGCCGCAGGTGGTGATACTCGAGAGATCGGTCAGAGATGGGGTGTGTGTGTGTGCGGCGAAAACATGTGTCGACACAACCCTCCACCTTCCTGTTCCCACCCTCTCTCCTCCTTCAACCCCCCGCACCAGGTGATGATAGAGGCGGTGGAGAATCACATGCCGCAGGTGGTGATACTCGAGAGATCGGTCAGAGATGGGGTGTGTGTGTGTGCGGCGAAAACATGTGTCGACACAACCCTCCACCTTCCTGTTCCCACCCTCTCTCCTCCTTCAACCCCCCGCACCAGGTGATGATAGAGGCGGTGGAGAATCACATGCCGCAGGTGGTGATACTCGAGAGATCGGTCAGAGATGGGGTGTGTGTGTGTGCGGCGAAAACATGTGTCGACACAACCCTCCACCTTCCTGTTCCCACCCTCTCTCCTCCTTCAACCCCCCGCACCAGGTGATGATAGAGGCGGTGGAGAATCACATGCCGCAGGTGGTGATACTCGAGAGATCGGTCAGAGATGGGGTGTGTGTGTGTGCGGCGAAAACATGTGTCGACACAACCCTCCACCTTCCTGTTCCCACCCTCTCTCCTCCTTCAACCCCCCGCACCAGGTGATGATAGAGGCGGTGGAGAATCACATGCCGCAGGTGGTGATACTCGAGAGATCGGTCAGAGATGGGGTGTGTGTGTGTGCGGCGAAAACATGTGTCGACACAACCCTCCACCTTCCTGTTCCCACCCTCTCTCCTCCTTCAACCCCCCGCACCAGGTGATGATAGAGGCGGTGGAGAATCACATGCCGCAGGTGGTGATACTCGAGAGATCGGTCAGAGATGGGGTGTGTGTGTGTGCGGCGAAAACATGTGTCGACACAACCCTCCACCTTCCTGTTCCCACCCTCTCTCCTCCTTCAACCCCCCGCACCAGGTGATGATAGAGGCGGTGGAGAATCACATGCCGCAGGTGGTGATACTCGAGAGATCGGTCAGAGATGGGGTGTGTGTGTGTGCGGCGAAAACATGTGTCGACACAACCCTCCACCTTCCTGTTCCCACCCTCTCTCCTCCTTCAACCCCCCGCACCAGGTGATGATAGAGGCGGTGGAGAATCACATGCCGCAGGTGGTGATACTCGAGAGATCGGTCAGAGATGGGGTGTGTGTGTGTGCGGCGAAAACATGTGTCGACACAACCCTCCACCTTCCTGTTCCCACCCTCTCTCCTCCTTCAACCCCCCGCACCAGGTGATGATAGAGGCGGTGGAGAATCACATGCCGCAGGTGGTGATACTCGAGAGATCGGTCAGAGATGGGGTGTGTGTGTGTGCGGCGAAAACATGTGTCGACACAACCCTCCACCTTCCTGTTCCCACCCTCTCTCCTCCTTCAACCCCCCGCACCAGGTGATGATAGAGGCGGTGGAGAATCACATGCCGCAGGTGGTGATACTCGAGAGATCGGTCAGAGATGGGGTGTGTGTGTGTGCGGCGAAAACATGTGTCGACACAACCCTCCACCTTCCTGTTCCCACCCTCTCTCCTCCTTCAACCCCCCGCACCAGGTGATGATAGAGGCGGTGGAGAATCACATGCCGCAGGTGGTGATACTCGAGAGATCGGTCAGAGATGGGGTGTGTGTGTGTGCGGCGAAAACATGTGTCGACACAACCCTCCACCTTCCTGTTCCCACCCTCTCTCCTCCTTCAACCCCCCGCACCAGGTGATGATAGAGGCGGTGGAGAATCACATGCCGCAGGTGGTGATACTCGAGAGATCGGTCAGAGATGGGGTGTGTGTGTGTGCGGCGAAAACATGTGTCGACACAACCCTCCACCTTCCTGTTCCCACCCTCTCTCCTCCTTCAACCCCCCGCACCAGGTGATGATAGAGGCGGTGGAGAATCACATGCCGCAGGTGGTGATACTCGAGAGATCGGTCAGAGATGGGGTGTGTGTGTGTGCGGCGAAAACATGTGTCGACACAACCCTCCACCTTCCTGTTCCCACCCTCTCTCCTCCTTCAACCCCCCGCACCAGGTGATGATAGAGGCGGTGGAGAATCACATGCCGCAGGTGGTGATACTCGAGAGATCGGTCAGAGATGGGGTGTGTGTGTGTGCGGCGAAAACATGTGTCGACACAACCCTCCACCTTCCTGTTCCCACCCTCTCTCCTCCTTCAACCCCCCGCACCAGGTGATGATAGAGGCGGTGGAGAATCACATGCCGCAGGTGGTGATACTCGAGAGATCGGTCAGAGATGGGGTGTGTGTGTGTGCGGCGAAAACATGTGTCGACACAACCCTCCACCTTCCTGTTCCCACCCTCTCTCCTCCTTCAACCCCCCGCACCAGGTGATGATAGAGGCGGTGGAGAATCACATGCCGCAGGTGGTGATACTCGAGAGATCGGTCAGAGATGGGGTGTGTGTGTGTGCGGCGAAAACATGTGTCGACACAACCCTCCACCTTCCTGTTCCCACCCTCTCTCCTCCTTCAACCCCCCGCACCAGGTGATGATAGAGGCGGTGGAGAATCACATGCCGCAGGTGGTGATACTCGAGAGATCGGTCAGAGATGGGGTGTGTGTGTGTGCGGCGAAAACATGTGTCGACACAACCCTCCACCTTCCTGTTCCCACCCTCTCTCCTCCTTCAACCCCCCGCACCAGGTGATGATAGAGGCGGTGGAGAATCACATGCCGCAGGTGGTGATACTCGAGAGATCGGTCAGAGATGGGGTGTGTGTGTGTGCGGCGAAAACATGTGTCGACACAACCCTCCACCTTCCTGTTCCCACCCTCTCTCCTCCTTCAACCCCCCGCACCAGGTGATGATAGAGGCGGTGGAGAATCACATGCCGCAGGTGGTGATACTCGAGAGATCGGTCAGAGATGGGGTGTGTGTGTGTGCGGCGAAAACATGTGTCGACACAACCCTCCACCTTCCTGTTCCCACCCTCTCTCCTCCTTCAACCCCCCGCACCAGGTGATGATAGAGGCGGTGGAGAATCACATGCCGCAGGTGGTGATACTCGAGAGATCGGTCAGAGATGGGGTGTGTGTGTGTGCGGCGAAAACATGTGTCGACACAACCCTCCACCTTCCTGTTCCCACCCTCTCTCCTCCTTCAACCCCCCGCACCAGGTGATGATAGAGGCGGTGGAGAATCACATGCCGCAGGTGGTGATAATCGATGAGATCGGGTCGGAGCTGGAGGCGGCAGCAGCGGCCACGATAGCGCAGCGGGGCGTGCAGCTCATCGCCACGGCGCATGGCCGTTCGGTGGAAAATCTTGTGAAGAACCCGCACCTGCACACACTCGCAGGGGGCGTGCAGGTACGAGAGGGGTGAAGATGGGTGCTGACGGGTGCAGTGCAGGTGGGTCTAGAGCGTTGCAGGTGGGTGGGTGCAGCAGCGGCCACGATAGCGCAGCGGGGTGTGCAGCTCATTGCCACGGCGCATGGTCGCTCTGTGGAGAACCTTGTGAAGAACCCGCACCTGCACACACTGGCAGGAGGAGTGCAGGTGGGTGCTGAAGGCTGTAGGTGGGTGAAGGGATTTTTTAAGCACTTTGAGAAAGTCCGTACTGTGGAGAACTGGCACGTGCACTTGCTGGGGGGGGCGTGCAGGTGGGTGGAGGTGGGTGCAGTGCAGGTAGTGCAACAGAGGTCCTTTTCTCACTCCCTCATCCCTACTCCTTCCTTCTCCCCTACCTCTCTCCCGCATGCAGACAGTGACGCTGGGAGACGAGGAGGCGAGGAGGAGGGGAGTGCAGAAGAGTGTGATGGAGAGGGGAGGGCCGCCCGTGTTCCAAGCGGCCGTGGAGGTGCACTCCCGCGGGCGATGGACCGTGCACCGCAACCTCGCTGCCACTGTTGACGCGCTGCTCTCAGGTGATTCATCTGAAAGAATGATCATTGTTGATGCACTGCTCTCACTTAGACGGCATATTGCTCCTTTGGAAAAAGGGAAAGAATGATCCTGACTCGCCCGTGGGCCGTGGAGTGGGTACTGACTCGCACTTCCCTCTTCACACCTCCCCCATAAAGACATCTTTTTTGCAACCCCACTTTCGGCCTCCCTTCTCCATCATCACCCTCCCCTCGTGTGTGCTCGCACTGCCCCTCCTTCCCTATGGGTGCTTCACAGGCAAGGCACCACAGGTGGAGATACGGGAGATGGGGCACCACGGGGAGGTGTGGGTGGATGGTGATGCTGTTAGCACCGGCAGACGCGGCAGCAACAGCAGTGGCGGTATCCCTGTCGGTGGCAGCAGCAGCAGCGGCAGCAGCACTGGTTTGGCACGAACAGGCTCTTGGGACGAGCAGGGATGGCAGGGATATGAGGGAGCAATGGGAGCAATGGGAGCAATGGGAGCGATGGGTGTGAGGGAGTGGGACGCAGCACAGCCCAGGGAGAGCAGCGGCAGGCAAAGAGAGAGAGGCAGTGCCGCACGGCCCGCTAATGCACCATCGCCCTCAGCAGCGGGGAGATCAGCCGCCTCTCCCCTGGGCTTTGCCTCTGGCAGTGGCAGCAGCGGGGAGGGCAGCGGCAGCGACACAGACAGCGAGGGAAGCGATGTTGATGTTTACGGTGATGGTGGTGGTGGGAGTGATGCTGATGGTGGTGGTGGCGAGCAGTGGGGGAGGTCTGCCATGTGGTGGGGCGGCATGGCTAGCAGATCAACCAGCACTGGTGCCGGCGTGACTAGCAGCCCTGCATTTATCTCCGCAGCACCACCATCATCAGCATCTTGGCCTCAAAGCAACGCACCTGCTGGGCTCTCGGCGTTCGCCCAGGCCACGCGCTCCGACAACTCAACCCTGCTCTTCCTCTACCAGGTGCGCGCCTGTTCAGTTGAGTGAGCATCACCATCACCATCATCAGCATCACCATCCTGGTCTCAAGGCAGAAGCATGCCTGCTGGGCTCTCAGCATTCGCCCAGGCTACGCGCTCCGACAACTCAACCCTGCTCTTCCTCTACCAGGTGTGGGCCTGTTGCGTGTGCTTCACCTCACACCAGCACCATCGGCATCAGCATCAGATTCAGCATCAGCATCAGCATCAGCATCAGCATCAGTATCAGCATCAGCATCAGCATCAGCATCAGCATCAGCATCAGCGCATCAGCATCAGCATCAGCATCAGCACATCAGCATCAGCATCAGCATAGCATCAGCATCAGCATCAGCATCAGCATCAGCATGAGCATCAGCATCAGCATCAGCATCAGCGCATCAGCATCAGCATCAGTATCAGCATCAGCATCAGCATCAGCGCATCAGCATCAGCATCAGCGCATCAGCATCAGCATCAGCATCAGCGCATCAGCATCAGCATCAGCATCAGCATCAGCGCATCAGCATCAGCATCAGCATCAGCGCATCAGCATCAGCATCAGCATCAGCATCAGGATCAGCATCAGCATGAGCATCAGCATCAGCATCAGCATCAGCATCAGCATCAGCGCATCAGCATCAGCATCAGCATCAGCATCAGCGCATCAGCATCAGCATCAGCATCAGCATCAGCATCAGCGCATCAGCATCAGCATCAGCATCAGCATCAGAATCAGCATCAGCATCAGCATCGGCATCAGCATCAGTATCAGCATCAGCATCAGCATCAGCGCATCAGCATCAGCATCAGCATCACCATCAGCATCAGCGCATCAGCATCAGCATCAGCATCAACATCAGCATCAGCATCAGCATCAGCATCAGCATCAGCATCAGCATCAGCATCAGCATCAGCATCAGCATCAGCGCATCAGCATCAGCATCAGCATCAGCATCAGCGCATCAGCATCAGCATCAGCATCAGCACCAGCATCAGCATCAGCGCATCAGCATCAGCATCAGCATCAGCATCAGCGCATCAGCATCAGCATCAGCGCATCAGCGCATCAGCATCAGCATCAGCATCAGCGCATCAGCATCAGCATCAGCATCAGCATCAGCGCATCAGCATCAGCATCAGCATCAGCGCATCAGCATCAGCATCAGCATCAGCATCAGCATCAGCGCATCAGCATCAGCATCAGCGCATCAGCATCAGCATCAGCATCAGCATCAGCATCAGCGCATCAGCATCAGCGCATCAGCATCAGCATCAGCATCAGCATCAGCATCAGCATAAGCATCAGCATCAGCATCAGCGCATCAGCATCAGCATCAGCATCAGCATCAGCATCAGCGCATCAGCATCAGCATCAGCGCATCAGCATCAGCATCAGCATCAGCATCAGCGCATCAGCATCAGCATCAGCATCAGCATCAGCATCAGCGCATCAGCATCAGCATCAGCGCATCAGCATCAGCGCATCAGCATCAGCATCAGCGCATCAGCATCAGCGCATCAGCATCAGCATCAGCATCAGCATGAGCATCAGCATCAGCATCAGCGCATCAGCATCAGCATCAGCATCAGCATGAGCATCAGCATCAGCATGAGCATCAGCATCAGCATCAGCGCATCAGCATCAGCGCATCAGCATCAGCATCAGCATCAGCATCAGCATCAGCGCATCAGCATCAGCATCAGCGCATCAGCATCAGCATCAGCATCAGCATCAGCGCATCAGCATCAGCATCAGCGCATCAGCATCAGCATCAGCATCAGCATCAGCGCATCAGCATCAGCATCAGCGCATCAGCATCAGCATCAGCATCAGCATCAGCATCAGCGCATCAGCATCAGCATCAGCGCATCAGCATCAGCATCAGCATCAGCATCAGCACCAGCATCAGCATCAGCGCATCAGCATCAGCATCAGCATCAGGATCAGCATCAGCGCATCAGCATCAGCATCAGCATCAGCGCATCAGCATCAGCATCAGCATCAGCATCAGCGCATCAGCATCAGCATCAGCATCAGCGCATCAGCATCAGCATCAGCATCAGCATCAGCATCAGCGCATCAGCATCAGCATCAGCATCAGCATCGGCATCAGCATCAGTATCAGCATCAGCATCAGCATCAGCGCATCAGCATCAGCATCAGCATCAGCATCAGCATCACCATCAGCATCAGCATCAGCGCATCAGCATCAGCATCAGCATCAACATCAGCATCAGGATCAGCATCAGCATCAGCATCAGCATCAGCATCAGCATCAGCGCATCAGCATCAGCATCAGCATCAGCATCAGCGCATCAGCATCAGCATCAGCGCATCAGCATCAGCATCAGCATCAGCATCAGCATCAGCACCAGCATCAGCATCAGCGCATCAGCATCAGCATCAGCATCAGCATCAGCATCAGCGCATCAGCATCAGCATCAGCGCATCAGCGCATCAGCATCAGCATCAGCATCAGCATCAGCGCATCAGCATCAGCATCAGCATCAGCGCATCAGCATCAGCATCAGCATCAGCGCATCAGCATCAGCATCAGCATCAGCGCATCAGCATCAGCATCAGCATCAGCGCATCAGCATCAGCATCAGCATCAGCATCAGCATCAGCATCAGCGCATCAGCATCAGCATCAGCGCATCAGCATCAGCATCAGCATCAGCATCAGCATCGGAGGAGAATGTGGAGCAGGTGGTGGAGTGGTGATGGGACTGGCACCCCTCGTGGCTCTACTGACACACTGCTTTTTTTAATTGGATGCATTTTTCTCGCCCATTCCCCTGCGCGCAGGTATCAGAGGAGCACGTAGAGCAGGTGGTGGAGGTGATGGGGTTGGCGCCACTCATCACCCTCACAACAGACATCGCAGCAGCAGACGCCGTGCTGGCCCTGCGCTCCAAGCTCAAGGGCAACGCGTGGCTCCGGGGGGTAGCCAAGTTCCGCCACCTCCCCATCTATGCTGTCAAGGTGGGCTCTGGCAAGAGGTGAGGCAGGTTCAACAAGTGTCACATCTATGCCTCCTGTTCCTGCATATCATAATGTCAGCGTGTTCTCACCATGCTGATCACTCGCCTCTCTCTCCTCACATGCTCACCGCCTTCCCCCGGCACGCTGTGTGTCCCTCCCCAGGCCAACACAGCGTCTCAGGTGGTGAGAGCCCTTCGTGCCATCCTCAACCTCCCCACCCTCGCCTCTCCTCCTCCCTCCTCCTCCTCCTCCTTCACATCCTCCTCCACCTCCTCGTTCTCCACCTCCGCCCCGCCTCCCTCTTTCCCTGCTCCTTCTCGCGCCGCGGCCCTTCCCGCCGCTGCTGCTGCACCAGCCACACCGCCAGACCAACTCCCGACCATGCACGATGAAAGCAGCAAGAGTGGCGGTAGCAGCAGCATCGGCATGCGCAGCGGCAGCAGCGGCAGTTGGGTGGGTGGGGCTGGAAAGGAACAGGAGGTGATGAGAGGGGCTGGCGGAGGTTCATTGGAGGACGAGATTGATGCTCTTGAGGTGGGTGAACAGCATTGTGGGAAACAGGCCAAAGACATGGTATGAGTTGAGGGTGTGGTGGAGGTTCATTGGAGGACGAGATTGATGCGCTGGAGGTGAGTCCATGTTCATGGGAGGAGAGAGAGGTGGTTGAACAGCATCGTGGGAAACAGGCCAAAGACATGGTATGACGAGAGGGGCTGGCGGTTCATTAGAGGACGAGATTGATGCGCTGGAGGTGAGGGCCATGGGTGATGCTGCTGCTGAGTGAGCGAGCCTGAAGCACTTTACCGTGCCCAGTTGTCACAACTCATGTGCACTTGACAAGTGCAGTGCTTGTCTGTGTTATCCTCTCTTCCTTTCCCATCCCTGAGGACCCTTCTATCTAATGGCAGCAGAGAGAGCATGGCTGGTTCATGAGCAGGTCATAAGTTTCCTGCCAATCCCTTATCTTTGTGTTTCCTACTGATAAGTTTTTCTGCCTTTCCGTCCTACCCGCCTGTGCATGCCGGTTTCATCCACCCCCCAGGAGGCGCGACTGGCAGCGGAGAGCATGATGGGGAGCGCAGCACAAGCAGTGGACCTGCTACCCCGCACCCCCCGTATCCTCTCCCTGCAGCTGCAGCTTATCAACGACTACCCCCTCTCCTGGCAGTATGCTGGCTCTCCCCCCACCCGCCGCATCCGCATCCTCCCCCTCCCTGCCTCTGCTCGCTCGGAGCTTGCTCCAGCAGCTCGCTCTGAGCTTGCTCCAGCTGTCATTGGTCGATCCGATTCTCCTGTTGGTGCCATTGGTAGCGTTGGCTCCAGTGTTACGAGTGGTGGAGAAAGTATGGGATGGCAGGGAGAAGAGGACGATGTAGAAATGGTGGAGGGTGGAGGTGGAGTGGATGAGAGTGGTGGCTGTGTGGTGGAAAATGCAGCAGCAGCTGGGTGGACTGTGGTTAGCTTGCCAAGGAAAGTGAGCTGATCGTGAAAGTAATGATTGTGGAAGTCCACGTAACAAGCCAGCTTGTCTGAGCATTGTTTCAAATCTGTGCAATGCACATTCTCTTTATTATAGAGATGATACACACCAGAGAGTATATACTGCCACTAAGAAGAACTCAAAAAGATAAAGCAAGCCATAGTATTTACAGCACTCAGCTACCAACGGTAAACTTCAGCGTCCCTTGCTAGTGTCAACGCCTTTGGACTGCAGAGCCTCATCACCACTCTTCTCCATTGTCGATTGCCCTCCCTTGCTCCACCCTAACTACATATCAAAGAGCGTATATTCAGCCTTATGGATAAAAGCACAGCCCACCCTTGCAATCCAAGAACGTCCATCTCTCCTTACCTTGGGCCAGGTTGATTTGAGCTTCCAGGGACTTGCCACCGGTTCCCCCTTCCACCACCGTCTCGCCTTCCTTCACGCGCCCCTCCAGCTCCTGCGGTGCAGAAAAGAGCGTCAGCCGAGAGAGGAGTGCGGATTAGCCCAAGCCCTCACAGGACGAGAGGACGTCACACCAGACGACCCTTCGCGGGCTGCAGGGAACTAAAATGCGAAGTGGGTCACCTTTTTTTCTTCTGCTGAAGCCTCTCCTCCTCCTCCTCTGCCTTCTCCATGACAAGCAGGATAGGTAAAGGGAAATGCGATTTTCACGATCGGGAGAGATTAAGAACGCCACGGCTTGCGATGGTCATAACGAGCTATCCTTCTCGCCTCTATATACGACATCGCTCCTGTCCGACTTCGTTTACGAGTCAATTGGAATGCTGGAATGCGGTTCGAAGCTGGGCTAGCAGCCATGGTTTTAAGACAAGGTCAGGCAACGCAATCCTTGAACATATCGAACCACAATCCGCGCAACCAATCACGTTATAGAATGGCTTCCGCCATCGCGTCCGCCGCTGCTGCAGCGGGCCCCTGCGCTGGTTTGAAGCGCGCGCAGTTGCGCGTCGATTCAGGCATTCAGAGCAGCACAGGTGGCACAGGAAAATTAGGTCGCAGCAGCGCGATTGCAGCGTTCAGCAGTAGCGTCAGCGCGCGTTTACGGACGTGTCAAAGCAGCCTTAGCGGGCATCCGCAGGGACGCTATGAGCGGCGATGCGTGGCAGTCGCGGCAGCGGCGGATTCGACGAGCGTGGAATGGGACGATCAAGGGCCGTCCGATGTGAATCCGACGGACCTGACTGATAGCGAGGATGAGAGGGGGAGGGAGGCGGGATGGAGGGGAGGGAGGAGCGAGGAGGAGCGAGCACAGAGCGACAGCCGACAGGAGCTTTTCAATAACATCGCTCCCATGTATGATGACGTGAGTAACGCGAGGCTTGTGATGAATGTGCGTACACCGAGTGGCGTATGCCATGAATTGAGCACTTCAGAGCGACAGCCTGTGGGGCCCGTTCTTCTTTATAATCACCCTCGCGCTGCTGCTCTCCTCGTCTGCCACCCACAACAAGGTGAGTGTAATGAAGTCCAAAGAGAATGAGTGCAACCAAGGCAGCACAACCGGCAATGGCATTCTGTTGATAGCTTGACAGCTGTACTGGATGCTATGTTACTCGCTCTTACCCCGTGCCTCCCGCTAACAACTGTTACTCGCTCTTACCCCGTGCCTCCCGCTAACAACTGTTACTCGCTCTTACCCCGTGCCTCCCGCTAACAACTGTTACTCGCTCTTACCCCGTGCCTCCCGCTAACCTGCTTGTCTTGTGTCCTCTCTCATTCGTTAATGAACGACTGGGTTCGTGCTGTTTCGTGCGTGTCACAGGCGCATGTGTTTGCAGTGGTGTTCGGAACAGTATCAACAGGAGCCGTTGTCCTCACTCTAAACGTGCAGCTGCTGGTGAGTGCCTCATAAGCACTCCGCCACACACACTCTCAGGGACCCCTGCCCTGCTTCCCCTGGCTCACGTGAACCCCTTTGCATCTCACTGCACCCCTCAGGCTGCACCATGACCAGGCATGCGCCTCTCTATCTCAGTGCACCCCTCATGGACCCCCTGTCATGTCCTTTCATGTGCCTCACATCACTCCCTCACACACCACAGGGCGGGCGGCCATTTTATTCTTCCACAGCCTCTCCCTCCTCGGCTACTGCCCCTCGCACACATATACCCCTTTGCACCTCACTGCACCCCTCATGCCGCCCTGCGTATCTCTCGCTCTCTCCTGCACCCCTCTCCCTCGCACCGCAGGGCGGGCGCATCATATTCTTCCAGAGCCTCTCCCTGCTCGGCTACTGCCTCGTGCCTCTCGACCTAGCCGCCCTGCTCTGCCTCCTCACCACTGCCAAACACGTCCGCATGGCGCTCGTTTTAGTCACATTCGCTTGGAGCTCCTCTGCTGCATACCCCTTTGTGGCCAAGGCTGTTCCGGAGACGTGCAGGGTGCTGGCAGTGTACCCTGTCTTCCTGCTCTACACGGCTATTGGCTTCCTTGTGCTCGCTAATGACTAGCATACCAGCACAGCAATCCCTCGCAGAACAGCAGACAGCATACCAGCACAGCAATTCCTCGCAGAACAGCAGACAGCATACCAGCACAGCAATTCCTCGCAGAACAGCAGACAGCATACCAGCACAGCAATTCCTCGCAGAACAGCAGACAGCATACCAGCACAGCAATTCCTCGCAGAGCAGCAGACAGCATACCAGCACAGCAATTCCTCGCAGAACAGCAGACAGCATACCAGCACAGCAATCCCTCGCAGAACAGCAGACAGCATACCAGCACAGCAATTCCTCGCAGAACAGCAGACAGCATACCAGCACAGCAATTCCTCGCAGAACAGCAGACAGCACAGCAATCCCTCGCAGAACAGCAGACACCACAGCAATTCCTCGCGGAACAGCAGACACCACAGCAATCCCCTACTCCCAGGGTGCTGGCAGTGTACCCTGTCTTCCTGCTCTGCTCTACACGGCTATTGGCTTCCTTGTGCTCGCTAATGACTAGCATACCAGACTGGACCCTGCAACGCTCGTGCCCTCATGACACACATTTAACCCTAGTCCGCACGTCCCTAGCCATGTCTGCACGTCCCTAGCCATGTCTGCACGTCCCTAGCCATGTCTGCACGTCCCTAGCCATGTCTGCACGTCCCTAGCCATGTCTGCACGTCCCTAGCCATGTCGAAATCTATCCTGCAAGTCGTCATCCTCCCAGTCGTCATCCGTCCCGGCCTCTGTCTCTGTCGTGCTCATGTCGATTATTGGGCTCAGCCTCGGAAGCTTCTGGGAATCGGGAAGGAAGCTTCTGGACTGGAGCATGGCTGGGCCTGTTGTGGGGGCCCAGGCATACGCTGCTCCTGCTGAGGCATAGCTGGGAGCCATGAAGGGTATACTTGAGAGCATGACCGCAGTTCTGCAGCGTTGTTTGCAGGATAGCTTATCGCAGCTGCACAGGAGAGCGCAGGCTGGAAGGTGGAGTTGAAGACACGAGCTGGTATCAGGAAGGAGAACATATGTTAGTTGCTGCCTGTCACGTGTAGTTTTGGTGGCCATTCTTTTTGGCATGGTTGGGTTAAATATGCAGCCATGTACATACATTAATTCTGCACATCCTGTTTCTGATAGTGGCGTTGCTTGGTGCTGTCATTGTACTTCCATGAGTCTTTGTTGGGTGGTCAGCCCACAGCATTCCCAGGAGCAGCAACACATGTGGCCCATAATTGAGAGGACATGTTGCCATGCCAAAAGGGATTGGCCTCTGTTGCATGTTCATGATTGATTTGCATGGAATAATGTGCTGAATGTTCAGGGCTCCCCCATACATGTACATAATTGTCTGCAACAGTGCAGCATGTGCTTCCCTGGTGTGTGTTGCCTATTTTCAGTCGTCCATGCTGAGGCCTAGTTGTCTCATTAAAGACCTAACCAGAGCTAACATCACTATCTAGGCAATTATAAAAAAAATATACATTTAAAATCATTCGGGCAATAATATAGCGCGCCATGGTCTTCGGTCTTGTGGGCCCCTCTTGGCCACTAGGGGGGTTAACCCCTAGTGTTCACCCACACACCGACGCTGAGGTGGGGACCCTTCGTGTGGGACCGCAGCCCCTCAGCGACACCGAGCTGGGCTGCAGCGTCCTACAGCCCAACTCAGACCAGGTGGCGTAACACCTGGCCCGGCAAGGCGGGGTGAGGAGGCCATCAGAGTTCAGGGGGTCCCCCCCATCCCTCGTCAGAACACTCACTCACACACAGGGGCGCTTCAGGCGCGGGCCGCGTCCGACCCAACGCCGTCAGCCACCCCTGCCGCACAACGCCAGTGCCGCAGTCGGGGGCGGTCTTCGGGTCTTGGACCCTGCCAGCTGCAGAGCGACACACACCACAAGACAACCACAACACACGAACAAGTGAAACAGGCACGAGGATACAAGCAATGCGAAAAACAGAAAGAAAGCAAGACAAATCTAAGAGCGAAAGCAAGACGGAAACGAAGGGGGGGTTAACCAGAGGGATGTCTCTTGATGCGCGCGCGCTGCCCCATTGCCCTCCTCGCCCCACGAGTGAAACAGAAGGGGGGTAGAGGAAGGGGGGTGGGGGGTAGAGAGACAAACAGAAGAAACAGATCAAGTGAAACATGAACAAACAAAAACATGTAATGCGAAAAACTGAAAGAAAGCAAGACGGAAATGGACAAGGGAAGAGAGGCTTACCCGCTGCAGCGATGGAGCAGCACCTCACCTCCGTCCGTGCCGCCCGCCGTGTAGCCCTCCACGCTGCCGGCATGCTGAAGGGGATGGAAGGGGGGGGTTATGCAGGGAGACGCCTCTTGCTGCCTGCGCGCTGCCCCCTCGCCCTCCTCGCCCCACGAATCGACTAGAAGGGATTGGAAGGGGGGGGGGTAGAGAGACAAACAGGAAAACACAGAATCAAGTGAAACATGCACGACAAACATATGCAATGCGAAAAACAGAAAGAAAGCAAAGCGGAAACGGACAAGGGAAGAGGCGTACCTCGCTGCAGCGATGGAGCAGCACCTCACCTCCGTCCGTGCCGACCGCCGTGTAGCCCTCCACGCTGCCGGCCATGCTGAAGGGGATGGAAGGGGGGGGTTATGCAGGGAGACGCCTCTTGCTGCCTGCGCGCTGCCCCCTCGCCCTCCTCGCCCCACGAGTCGACTAGAAGGGATTGGAAGGGGGGGGGGTAGAGAGACAAACAGGAAAACACAGAATCAAGTGAAACATGCACGACAAACATATGCAATGCGAAAAACAGAAAGAAAGCAAAGCGGAAACGGACAAGGGAAGAGGCGTACCTCGCTGCAGCGATGGAGCAGCACCTCACCTCCGTCCGTGCCGCCCGTCGTGTAGCCCTCCACGCTGCCGGCATGCTGAAGGGGATGGAAGGGGGGGGTTATGCAGGGAGACGCCTCTTGCTGCCTGCGCGCTGCCCCCTCGCCCTCCTCGCCCCACGAGTCGACTTGAAGGGATTGGAAGGGGGGGGGTAGAGAGACAAACAGGAAAGCACAGAATCAAGTGAAACATGCACGACAAACATATGCAACGCGAAAAACAGAAAGAAAGCAAAGCGGAAACGGACAAGGGAAGAGGCGTACCTCGCTGCAGCAATGGAGCAGCACCTCACCTCCGTCCGTGCCGCCCGTCGTGTAGCCCTCCACGCTGCTGGCCATGCTGAAGGGGATGGAAGGGGGGGTTATGCAGGGAGACGCCTCTTGCTGCCTGCGCGCTGCCCCCTCGCCCTCCTCGCCCCACGAGTCGACTTGAAGGGATTGGAAGGGGGGGGGGGGGGAGAGAGAGACAAACAGGAAAGCACAGAATCAAGTGAAACATGCACGACAAACATATGCAATGCGGAAAACAGGAAGAAAGCAAAGCGGAAACGGACAAGGGAAGAGGTATACCTCGCTGCAGCGATGAAGCAGCACCTCACCTCCGTCCGTGCCGCCCGTCGTGTAGCCCTCCACGCTGCCGGCCATGCTGAAGGGGATGGAAGGGGGGGTTATGCAGGGAGACGCCTCTTGCTGCCTGAGCGCTGCCCCCTCGCCCTCCTCGCCCCACGAGTCGACTTGAAGGGATTGGAAGGGGGGGGGGGGGTAGAGAGACAAACAGGAAAGCACAGAATCAAGTGAAACATGCACGACAAACATATGCAATGCGAAAAACAGAAAGAAAGCAAAGCGGAAACGGACAAGGGAAGAGAGGCTTACCCAGTAGCAGCGATGGAGCAGCACCTCACCTCCGTCCGTGCCGCCCGCCGTGTCGTCTCCGCACCGTTCGCCATGCTAGAGGGAATGGAAGGGGGGGGTTAACCAGAGGGACGCCTCTTGATGCGTGCGCGCTGCCCCATCGCCCCTCTCCACGCTGAAGGGGATGGAATGGGGGGGTTAACCAGAGGGACACCGCTTGCTGCCCCATCGCCCTCCTCACCCCAAGTGAAGCCCTGAAGGGAAGGAAGGCGGGGATTAAGCAGAGAAGTCCTCTTGCTGCCCCGCCGCGCTGCCCTCTCGCCCTCCTTGCCCCACGTGAAGGTCCGTCCTGACGGGAGTGGAAGGGGGAGGAGTGAGGACGGAGTCGGGTCAGGAGGACAGAGGCATGGCAGAGGGCAGACCCAAGGGCCAAGGTGCTGTGAGGTATGTGAGTGGCCGCAGAGGCCGAGGGTGGGCCCCGTGCTTCAGGACAAGACCAAGAGAGAGCTGGGGCCCCCCCCACTCTCAAATGATCGAGTCCGTCAGCCCCTCGTCTGCTGCATAGCGCTCACTGTCCAATCAACAACACCCCTCCTTGTGATCGCCTCAGCCAGCCCGTCAGTCTCTCCATCTCGTTCCTCCGCCTCACCCCATGGACGCAGGGGAAGAAGCCAGCACACGTGGGAGAAAGACGCCTCGTCGCAGCGCTGCCTCCTTGCCGCCTCCTCGTCGCGGCTTGCCTCCGAGCGCGTGGTCAGCAGGGCGGGTAGGAGGCAGCCACACGCCTGTGACTGCCGGCCGTGCGTCATCCCAACACGCTCGCACACACAAGGGAGTAAGCAGCAGGCACACTCACAACCGAACACGCAAGCACACACAAGGGAGTAAGCAGCAGGCACACTTACAACTGAACACGCAAGCACACACAAGGCAGTAAGCAGCAGGCACACTTACAACCGAACACGCAAGCACACACAAGGGAGTAAGCAGCAGGCACACTCACAACCGAACACGCAAGCACACACAAGGGAGTAAGCAGCAGGCACACTTACAACCAAACACGCAAGCACACACAAGGCAGTAAGCAGCAGGCACACTTACAACCGAACACGCAAGCACACACAAGGGAGTAAGCAGCAGGCACACTCACAACCGAACACGCAAGCACACACAAGGGAGTAAGCAGCAGGCACACTCACAACCGAACACGCAAGCACACACAAGGGAGTAAGCAGCAGGCACACTCACAACCGAACACGCAAGCACACACAAGGGAGTAAGCAGCAGGCACACTCACAACCGAACACGCAAGCACACAAAAGGCAGTAAGCAGCAGGCACACTCACTCCCCAGCAAGCACTCACTCCCCAGCACTCACTCACTCCCCAGCACTCCCTCACTCCCAGCACTCCCTCACTCCCCAGCACTCCCTCACTCCCCAGCACTCCCTCACTCCCCAGCACTCCCTCACTCCCAGCACTCCCTCACTCCCCAGCACTCCCTCACTCCCCAGCACTCCCTCACTCCCCAGCACTCCCTCACTCCCTCACTCCGCAGCACTCACTCCCCAGCACTCCCTCACTCCCAGCACTCCCTCACTCCCAGCACTCCCTCACTCCCAGCACTCCCTCACTCCCCAGCACTCCCTCACTCCCTAGCACTCATTCACTCCCCAGCACTCACTCCCCAGCACTCCCTCACTCCCAGCCCTCCCTCACTCCCCAGCACTCCCTCACTCCCCAGCACTCCGTCACTCCCCAGCACTCCCTCACTCCCCAGCACTCCCTCACTCCCTCACTCCCCAGCACTCCCTCCCCAGCACTCCTTCACTCCCAGCACTCCCTCACTCCCAGCACTCCCTCACTCCCCAGCACTCCCTCACTCCCCAGCACTCACACACACCAAGCACTCACTCTCCAGCACTCACTCACAACCGAACACGCAAGCACACACAAGGGAGTAAGCAGCAGGCACACTCACGAGTGGCGAGAGGAGGAGGTACTGGCAATGACGGCGAAGGCGAGCAGTGAAAGAATGAGTGCAAACAAGTGCAATCAAGAGAAGAGAAATTTCTTAGCCTTATTTAGGAGGGGTCGAAGCTGCATGCACATGCGCTCGCCAGCAGCAGCACTTCTCCCTCCTCGCCTTGCCGTTCCTCCGCAGGCGAGCAGTGGTCAGCAGGGCAGCAGTAGTGCCTGCCGTGCGTCATCCCACTGCCGCCATCCCACAGGTGCAGTGCAGCAGCCTCCGCCCCTCCAGTCGCCACCCGCCTCCTCGCACACGTGCAGTGCAGCACCCATCGCGCCACTCCACCACGCCTGCTCCTCCGCGGCTTGCCTCCGAGCGCGTGGCAAGCAGGGCGGGTAGGAGGCAGCCACCGCCTCGAATGCTCACCTGAAGTGCCGCCGCCTCGAATGCTCACCTGAAGTGCCGCCGCCTCGAATGCTCACCTGAAGTGCCGCCACTCGACTCCTCACCTTAAGAGCTGCCTCCTCGCCTGAAGTGTTTGCCTTGAGCGGGTGCGTTGACTCCCCTGCATGCTGCTGCTGTCCCCTCCGTCTTGCCAAAAGCACACCACACCACACCATACCACTCCACACCACTCCACACCGAAACCAGAGATTACAGTCGGTGACGTTGTAGACTCCCCGTGCGCCTCCCTCGACGGTGGGAAGGGGATGAGGACGGAGTGCAGGTCAGGTTGGGCGTCAGAGCTGGAAGAGGAGGTGCGTGGAGGGCAGTGCTGAAAAATGAGGACGTGGAGCAGCGATGAGGACTTACGAGAGGGGGCCCCACCCTCTCCGCCTCACATTCCCACCGCTAAACTCCGTTTCTCATTCCCACAGCATCCCAGTCATGCATCCTCTCGTCCAACCCATCAACCACTCCCTCACGTTCCTCCGCCTCACCCCTTGCCGGACGTGCCGCCTCCTCGACTGAAGTGCCGCCTCTTGACCACACCATACCAGACCACACAGCACTACACCTGCTCCTCTGCAGGCGCCTCCGATCTTGAGTGAAGAAGCCATGTTGAGTGAAGAAGCCATCTTGAGTGAAGTGCCGCCTCTCCTTGCCTCCTCACCTCAAGTGCCACACCGCACTACACCTCTGCTGAAGTGCCGCCCCCTTGCCTCCGCGCCGGCTCGTTGCCCGAAGTGTGCGCCTCCTCCTCATGCCGCACCATACCATTCCACACCGCACTACACCTCTGCTGAAGTGCCGCCTCCTTGCCTCCGCGCCGGCTCGTTGCCTGAAGTGTCCGCCTCCTCCTCATGCCGCACCATACCATTCCACACCGCACTACACCTCTGCTGAAGTGCCGCCTCCTTGCCTCCGCGCCGGCTCGTTGCCTGAAGTGTCCGCCTCCTCCTCATGCCGCACCATACCATTCCACACCGCACTACACCTCTGCTGAAGTGCCGCCTCCTTGCCTCCGCGACGGCTCGTTGCCCGAAGAGCCCGCCTCACACAAAGCGGGTGGTCAGCAGGGCGGGTAGGAGGCAGCCGTGTGGCTGCCGGCCGTGCGTCATCCCACCGCTCGCTTCTCCCTCTCACTGCTGCCGTCCTCCTGAGTCACTGCTGCCGTTCTCTGCAGGCTCCTCTTCTCCTCTGCTCGGCGCATCCTTGAGTGAAGAACCGATCTGCAGTGAAGAACCCATGATTGCTGAAAAACAGGGGGAGGGAACACACAGACAGGTGCACAAAGTCAGTAACCAGAACTGCGTAATGGAAAAGAAAGCAATACAAACACAAGGAAACGAATGTGGAAACGAAGTGCGCGAATTGAGAGCGGAGAACGACACAAGGAAACGAGGTGAGATGGTGGGATGGATGCACGTCCATGATACGCCGGCTGCAGCTAGCAGAGGGAGGAGCTATGCTACCCAAAACCCAAAGTCTATGCTACCCAACCCAAAATCTATGCTACCCAAAACCCGCGGAGGATCATCTACTAGGCTGCAGCCGAACGTATCAGAGGGACGTGCACAAACGCGAAATGAAGGACGATGGAGTGGAGTGAAAAACGAGGTGCTGGAAACACGGAATGACCAAAACGAAACGAAACTTCCCAGTTGCTTTGCTGACGAGATGCCACTGATGCCTTGATGCTCCAATGCTCCTCGAGCGGGTGGTCAGCAGGGCGGGTAGAGGCAGCCACACGCCACGCTGCACCACGTTGCACCACGGCAGGCCAGGAAACCAACTTTTGCACGGACCTGGACGGAGCAGATTGCAGCACAACAGAAACGAATCTGAAATGGTCAGGCGGAACGGAATCGAATTTGAAATGAGAGCAACGAAAACGAATCTGAAAACAGCAACAGGAGAAAGATACAGCCAGGAAACGTATAATTTAGAAATCGGGCGTTGGATGAAAACTCACCACCAGCGTCAGATGAAAACTGCTCGAACGTCGACGTCGCAATTAGCGATGCGCTCTCCGCCAATCAGCTCTCCGCCAATCAGCTCTCCGCCAATCAGCTCTCCGCCAATCAGCTCTCCACCAATTAGCTCTCCGCCAATTAGCGATCCGCCAATCAGCGATCCGCCAATCAGCGATCCGCCAATCAGCAATGCGCCAATCAGCTCTCCGCAATGCTCCAATGCACCTCGAGCAGGTGGTCAGCAGGGCGGGTAGAGGCAGCCACACGCCAGTGGCTGCCGGCCGTGCGTCATCCCACAGCTGGCCTCTCCCTCTCGCCACAGGAATGCAGCGTCATCCCCCCTGCTGCTCCAGTAGCTATCGCCCTGTGGTTGAGTCTGAACGAGGAGCAGAGGGAGCAGAGAGGCACAGAGGGTAGAATCAGCCTCAGAGCAGCAGAGAGAGCACACGACAGAGTGGCACTGAGAGCAAGAGCAAGAGCGGGTAGCCGAAAGCGAACAAGATAGGAGTGCGAGAAACCAAGCAAGTGGCAAAGAACAAATAGGAGTGCGAAAGGTGAGCAGAGTGGAGTGACAAGTGAGTGGGCAAGGAGCATGACGGCAGTGGGCCAAGGGCGGGCACCATACCAGCAAGCTAAGGCCATGCGCCATCCCACAGCTGGCCTCTCCACCTCCTGGCCGTGCGCCAGCACAGCGGTTGTTGCCGCATGAGTGAGCAGAGGCGACACTTTTCCTGCAGCCTCCTTATAGCAGTGCCGCCCCGTAGCAGTGCTGTGCGTCATCCCACGTGGTTGTTGCTGCATGCTCCAGCAGCTACCGCTACGTGGTTGTTGCCGCATGCTCCAGCAGCTATCGCCACGTGGTTGTTCGCATGCTCCAGCAGCTATCGCCACGTGGTTGGCTGCGCCTGCATGAGGAGCAACCACGCAGAGAGGCAGAGAGGGGTAGAATTAGCCTCAGAGCAGAAGAGAGAGCGCAAGACAGAGTGGCACTGAGAGCAAGAACAAGTGGCAGAAGAGCAAGAGCAGGTAGCTAACATCAGACACTGGCGAGAAAGCAAGCAAGTGGCAGCGAACAAGATTGAAGTGCGATGCGAACAGCAGAGTGGAGCGACAAGGCAATGCGCATGACGACAGTGGGCCACGGGCACCGCAGCAGCGAGCTAAGGCCATGCGAGGAGGGACTGGGTAATGTCAGGACGCACCCATTAGCTTTTGTGGCAGCTCGTTGCTTCCGCTTGTCATTTCCCGATTCGCCGGACGCCTCCTCGCGTCGCCTCGCCTCCAGATTCAAGATTAACACCCGCAAGTCAGCAGCGTCGCCTCCTCTCCTCGCCACCAACGTCCGCCTCCTCTGCACAAGTCAAACCACACAGCATCAGTGAATAAGAACTCGGATTTGTAAAAAAGCAACGAATAAAAGAGAAGAACTCAGGTTTCCAATATTGAAAGCGCTGAAAACCGTTGGCAGAAGTTCAGTTTCGCCGAATTTAAATTCAGCTTACCATGGCAGAGCAGAAGTTCCTCGGGTGCAGGGCAGCGCCCATTCTCAACTGCAGCAGCATCTGATACCTCCGTTCTTCAGCAGTGCAGCGCCGTTCGTGCTTCAGCAGTTGTTTTCTGAGCCTCAGCTGCAGCAGCGCGTTGCTGAGCCTCAAATGGCCTTGGACCTGCACTTCTCCTTTGCTCCGCTGCACCACGCTGCACCATGCAGCTCAATCCGTGTGATCCGCGCAGCCGAATCCGTGTGATCCGCGCAGCCGAATCCGTGTGATCCGCGCAGCTCAATCGGTGTGATCCGCGCAGCTCAATCCGTGTGATCCGCGCAGCTCAATCCGTGTGATCCGCGCAGCTCAATCCGTGTGATCCGCGCAGCCGTGTGATCCGCGCAGTTCCATGGCCTCACCAGGAAGTCCGAATCCGCGATTTGAATCCGCGATCCTTCTGATTGAACCGGGGAAAATAGGTAAAAGAGACAAAATGAGAAGAGAATACTGGAATAGAGAAACTTACAGTGAACATGCATAACGCGTGTTAAGAACAAGCGTGTATAATTAGGAGGCAAGATCAAGAGGGTCGTTTGACGTTTGTACCTCAGTCGTTGACGGGGATGACACGAAGTAGTTTCGCCGTTATGTAATGTCGCGAGCGCTGACGGCTTCGCGAACTCGGCTAACGGCTTCGCGAACTCGGCTGACGGCTTCGCGAACTCGGCTGACGGCTTCGCGAACTCGGCTGACGGCTTCGCGAACTCATCCATCAGCAGACCCGCCTTCGCCGCGAACTCCATCTTCACCGTCTTAACTTCGTCAGGGGTCGTCTAGAGTCGTCGTGAAGTTGTATCCGTCGTAACGTCGCCGAATGCGTGCAGCAATTCATTGTAACGTCGCATCATCTGTTGCAGACTGCGTGAGCGAATCCGTCGTGACGTTCATCATACGACGAAGCTTGCTGGGATCTGAGCGACCGCTGTAGGAGGAAGAATCATGTCGCGACTCGCGAGCTGAAAATGAAGTTTCTTTAACCGATGAAACGGTCGAGCTGATGCTTGGTGTAGAGTCCGATCCAACGTTATAACTGATGGTAACGACTTAACGACTGCCGTAACTCTGGAAGATGAATCATTAGGCTGATGGTCCGTCGTAACTCTGGTAAGCTGAATCATAAGGCTGATGGTCGTCTAGTTTAAATGTTGAGCGATATGAATCCCTAGATTTAGCCAAGCTATAGTCCTACTTGTTCTTACCCTCAGCGGGAGCGGTGATGGTAACGACCTACCGACTGCCGTAACTCTGGAAGATGAATCATTAGCCGATGGTCCGTCATAACTCTGGTAAGCTGAATCGCAAGGCTGATGGTAGTCTTGTTTAAGAGTTGAGTGATATGAATCCCTAAATCTAGCCAAACTAAAGTTCTTAGTTTCTGACTACCCTCAACGGCAGTGCGAATTAGGTTGTCGTCAGAATAGAGGAAGCCATGGACTCCGAGTAGCTGAGTAACCACGACTAACTCGTGTCACACCAGAAGATTACGCCTAGGGAATGTCGAGATTCATTCAGGGATGGGAATAGTGGCTGGCAGATTGGGAAGGGAGAAGTGAAGGAAGCGGATGGAAGGAAGGGGAGGTTGGGGGGGTTCCGAGTGGTTGAACGGATTTGGACATAAAACAGAAGGGTGCTTTGCCGGACTGGGGGAGAGTTGGCGTAAGGGAAGCGAAGTGGGCGACGACGAGGGGAGTCGGCCATGCGAAGCAACCGCAAGCCGAGGGGAGGCGGAGCCGCTCCCGTTCCAGTCGGGAAGCCGCTGAAAAGTGAGTGGACGTTCCGCTGACAGGCGGGAGGCGGGAGAAATTTAGCCAGTGAAAGTGAAGGAATGCGGGAACAGTGTTGCGCAGCCGCGCGCTCTGTCGGACGGTTCGCGGGAAGGAGCCGCCATGTGCGAAACATAAGGAAGAAAGCGAAAGGTGTTACGGTGTCATAACCAGGCATGTTGTGAGCACAGACATGTGAGGTCGGCATTGAAAATGGACTATTGGGCAGTGAGACTGCCATGGTAGGAGCCGCGCTCAACATTTCTGCTGGCTCGTGTCAGAACCTGGATTTGAAATTTGTCATGAGCTCGTGAACCATTCTGGCGGGAAGGCGACTTTCATCCCCGTTAACAAAGCCACTAATAGCTTGCACAGGTTAGAATTCACGAGCTGTGTTCTCCGCGGTTGCCTAAGAATTTGAAGCACAGAACGTCATTCTACATTTGCACTTACATCATATTCTATGTCACATTGTCAGAGCCAAAGGGTGATGATTGTTGTGATGATTCAAACTCTTATGATGTCTAGCTCTAAAACAGTCATCGACAGACATACAAATACGTCAGTGAGTGGGCAAATTACCAGCAGCATGGCTAGCCAGAGTTGTGCATAATGCTGCGATCAGAAGATGATCACTGCCAGGATCTCCTCCGGAAGGTTCGCACGCAGGTAGATAGACTAGGTGGGGCTTGAGATAAATTAAAACATGCAAATACAGCAAATATAAATATGAGTACAGGGAAGACGAAACGACCTAGCTAGCCATGTACTCTAAACGGTACATTTCCTTCTTCAAATTCATTTCCAACCGTGCGGCGCGTACAGTTACGAAACTGTTCCCGCCGAAACCATCCTGCCTGCAGCTGCCTGATGCCGTCTGCTCCGACGGTCCAGATGCACCCTAACCGTCTGACGCTTCGAGTCAACTCTGACTCTTCGCGTTCGTTCTCGATACTGCATGCTTCTCTTTGCTGCGGTGAGGAGTGCACAGTACTATTCGCAACACATAACAATCACACATTGCTATTATTGAAGAATTCTCACCCACACACTACAACATAAAATTATTGTACCTGCACTTCCCGTATAAATGCATCATCCCTTAGTGGAACATTCGCTATCTCGTTGCCTTCCTCCTCCGAGCACATCACTACGTATGCTTTCACAAAGCGTGTTTTCCTTAGCTTTTAGAAGCAAATGGCGGACCATTTGTCTCCGCCATGGTCGCACGTATGTCACGTTCTCCAATCATTCGAGCAGCGTCGCGAGAACTGCGTCGTCACCGTCGATGACGATAGCGGTGCGACACTAACTGGGTCGCAATTAGTCGCAGACGCCGCATGCCTGGCCAGAGGGCTAGAGACTTCTTGCGGCGTCGCGCTTGGGGACCGCGTGTGCATCGCAGCACTTAATAGGTATCGTCGCATAGCACGGCATAGCATATCCAACGGCGACGTATCTTTCCGTCGTAGGTGGTTTGTGAGAGAATTCGCAAGATATTCACGTGGCTAGCAGGATGCATTCC